CTTCGCTGCTGCCATGGCCAGCAGTAGGCGAACTGACTCCATGCGCGCTACTGGTGCAAAAACTTCCTCAAAGTCGATGCCCTCACGCTGGACGAACCCCCGAGCAACGAGTCGCGCCTTATGCTTGACTATAGCGCCACTCTCGTCCCGCTTGACCTTGTAGACCCATTTGAGCCCGATTGGATGACAGCCTGGAGGTGGATCGATGAGCTCCCACGTCTCATTTTCCTCGATCGCCTTCATCTCCTCTAGCATAGCTCGTCTCCAACTGACATCGCGCTCGGCCTGCGCGAAAGTCGATGGCTCCTCTGCGCTGACGAGGAGCTGCTCCTGATCGTCGAGTAATCGGCTTGCCAAGCCTGGTACAATCGAGTTGCCAACGAGGTTGTCCATCCTGCGAAACCTCACCTCCTCACCATCGTGGAAAGCATCCACATACTCGTCGATGTTGCTCGGAGGAGAGGTGAACTCAACTGTCGTCGCTGGAGGTGTCCCCTGTCCTGCCGCAGCAGGGGACTGTGGTGGGGGCGTGTGCGCAGCTGCTGGTGGAGACTCTTCGCCCGTGCCCATGGCCGGACTTTGCGGCTCAACTGACGCAACCACAGTTGCTGGACTTGGCGCGTCCGCAGCTGGCTCCTCTGATCCCGCATCTCCTCCTCCGTGGATCACCAAATGCTCGATGACAAACGTACCGCCGACGCCACGGGCTTCCCCCGTGCCAGGATTCTCCCAATCCCAGGCCACCATTTCGTCGAACACCACATCCCGCGAGACCACCACCTTGTCTCCACGTGGATCGTAGAGCCGATAGGCCTTGCTCCCCTCCTCGTAGCCTAGGAGCACCATCGGTATGCTCCTATCCTCAAGCTTGGACAGGAAGGGCTTCGTCTTCTTCACATGGCCAATACACCCGAAGGTCCTCAGAAACGAGACGTCGGGCTGCCTGCCATGCCAAGCTTCGAATGGTGTCATGCCCTTCAGGGCCTTCGTGGGCGCACGGTTGAGGATGAACACCGCCGTGCTCACGGCCTCTCCCCAGAACTCCGCTGGCATACCCTTTGCCTTCATCATACTTCGGGCCATGCCCACCACGGTCTGATTCCGCCGCTCCACTACGCCGTTCTGTTGCGGTGAGTACGGCGCAGTGTGATGGCGCACTACCCCATGGTTTGCACAATACGCGGCGAATTCCACTGATGTGAACTCGCCACCGCGATCCGTCCTCAGCACGCGCAGCCGCTTTCCGGACTCTGCCTCAGCCCGCACCTGGAATCGCTTGATTGCCTCCGCAGCCTGATCCTTACTCGTCAGGAGCTGCAGCCACATGAAACGGCTACAGTCGTCCACGAGCAGCAGGAAGTAGCGTCGTCCGCCATGCGTAGCCGGCGTGATCGGCCCGCAGAGGTCGCCGTGGACGAGATCGAGGACGTCCGCCGCACGATACTTGGCCGCCTTTGGAAAAGGCAGCCGCCTCTGCTTCCCTGCCAGGCAGCTATCGCACAGCTCGATGTGCGGGAGCCCGCGCACCATCTTCCTCAGCAGACCGAGTGCGTCGAAGCTCAAATGGCCGAACCGAGCATGCCATAGCCATGGCTCCTCAGTGTGCCGTACCGCCAAGCACACAGGTTGCTCCACTTTCAAGTCGAGGAGGTAGAGGCGGTTCCGGGAACGTTGGACCTTAGCCAGCAGCCGCTGTTCCTGGTCCTGGAGCTTTAGCACGCCGCCTTTGACAAGCACCTCGCAGCCGTGCTCGTCCAGTTGCCCGATGCTGATGATGCTTGAACGCAACTGCGGGATATAGTACACATCCGTCAATGCGCGGTGCTCGCTGTTCTGGCACCGGAAGATGACAGTGCCGCGACCTCGAATTTCCACCTTCGAGCCGTCGCCGAACTTCACCGTCCCCGTCACGCCGTCATCAAGCTCGGAGAAGGCCTCCTTGGAGCCGGTCATGTGATTGCTGGCGCCGGAGTCCAGGTACCACCTCTGCTCCATGCCACCGCCCATTCGTCCAAGGTGGACTTGGGCACTCGACTCGTCGAGGTGAACGGCCTGCAGTGCCTTCCCCTGCTCTGTAGCCGCCGCCTTGACTTCCTCCAACTCTGGCTCGACGTCGTGCAACTTGTAGGTCGTTGCCATGAGAAGAGCTGGCTCCTCGTCGTCCACCTGCACGAGGTGCGCCTCCCTCTTCTCCTTCTTTGGATTCTTGCAATCCCGGGCCCAGTGCCCTGTCTTCCCGCAGCGTCGACAAGTGTCCGTATCGACCAGACGTGCGTTGTTGCCATCTTTCTTCTTCTGCGGGGCCTTGCCACGGTGCTTGTCGTAGCCGCCACGGTTGGAGGAGCCTTTCCCGGGTTGCCGCTCGCGCATACGAGCTGCCCATTCTTCCTCGGTCAGTAGTAACTTGCCGCTGGTAGTTATCGTCGCCATCTCCACGCGGTCATCCACTGCCCGCAAGCGCCCAGTCACATCCTCAATCGTAAGGGTGGACATGTCGATCAACGTCTCGATGGAGAGCGCGATCTGGGCATACTTAGGCGGCACGACGCGCAAGTATTTGGCGATCGCCTCCTCATCGGTGATGCTGACGCCGTGCGCCGCCAGCTGACTGACGAGCGACTGCAAACGGAGCGAGAAATCCGCCACTGCCTCGCCGTCGCGGAATGCCAGCGCCTCGTACTCCCGCCGCAACTGCTGCGCCTTCGCCTTCTTTGCGCGATCAGACCCGATGCGCATGGCCTTGAGGGCGTCCCAAGCAGCCATTGCGGAGTCCTTTGCGCCCAGCGACTCCACGTAATCGTGAGGCACAGCGGACAGAATCGCTTCCATCGCTGCACAGTCCTCTTCTTCATCCTCGGTGCCTTCCTCGATGGCCCGCCAAAGCTTGCGCGCACGCAACTTGACCTTCATCAGCACCGCCCATTCGCCGTAGATTGTGCGTGTGAGGACCGGCCAGTTGGCCCCGCCAACGTCCCGCACAGTCCTGTGGATGATGACCTCCTGGCGTGGTGAAACGTATGCTCCGCTCCCTTGCACCATCGACGCAACATCTTGGCTTGCCATGGCTCTGATACCACTTGTTAGTCCCTGCTCGTTCACTGCTCACTGCTCAGGTAAGCAAAAAATGCTTCCGGTACAAACGAACACTTTTAGGATGAAAGAAGAAGATTGTGAACAACTCAATGTATTGAGTATTAAGCTTTTCTGTGTGTTTACAAAACAAAAACTGCACCCCTATTTATAAGAACTAAAAACAACTATCTAGTGACTTTCCTAGAAATTACTTAAGTTGAAAAGTCCTAAAAATCATCCTAAAATGGCTGCTATGAAAGTGCTTTGCAGCTGCAAGGAAAGTGTAATGAAATTGCAAGGAAACAAGAAGGAAACATCAGATTATATTTCTTACAGAGTCTGCCCGATCCGGTGGGCCCGGGCAACGGCTTGCTCCTCAGTTTTAGGGTTCGGATCAGGGTCGTAAATGATGACTGTGTCGGCCGATTGAAGATTGAGTCCCCGCCCGGCTGCCCGGATGCTGAGCAGGAATATGAAGGAGTCAGTGTCCGGGCGGTTAAATTCGACAATAGCACTTTCACGATCTTCCAAACTCGTCATACCATCTATTCTTCGGAAAACGAGCCTACGCCACTGGAGATATTCTTCCATTATGTCGAGAAGTTTGGTCATGGTACTGAAGAGAAGTACTCTATGCCCGGTTTTATGGAGCTTGATCAGAACCCGATCGAGAACCCACAGCTTCCCACACGATCTCAAGAGGAAATCCTTCGATAAGTCGCTAAAGTACGGATAGTTGAGCAAAGGGTGATTGCATGCTTTTCTTAGCTCCATGCATCCGTTGTTCAAAGGTTTGTAAGCTTTAGCTTGGTAAATAGGGTTTCGTTGAACCTTGGGCTCTTCTTCTTCAGGATCGACTCGGATAGTGCCGGTGGATTTAATCCACTCATAGATGGCGCTCTGTATTGCTGACATTCTGCCTTTCAGAATAACCGATACCTGCAATTGAAAAAAATTTAATCAGAAAATAGTTCAGGGCACAAGATAATTTATTAGTTATATACAAAGACACACTCCTTGGGAGGAAGTGAACCTTCCACATCTTCAACACGACGCCTTAGCATAGAAGGCTCTAATATTTGGTGAAGTCTGTGAATAATGATGACTTTTTCCTCAGTCTCGAGCCAATCATCCTCAGCATTGTGCGAAAACCCTCTTTTGAAATGGTTGAGAGAACCAATCGTGAAATGCTTTTCTGTTATCAAAAACTTCGGGTAGAAGTAGGTTCAAAAGAGACCACAGTTCTTTCAGATCGTTCTGCACAAAGATTATTTATTTATCCGTAACCGTTTCAGATACAATATATGAATAAATAAATGAATATACAAGTAAATTCATAAATATATATCTCATGATCTGGGGGGATGGACTCCACGTTATTGAGGATTATAGAGATCCATAAACGAAAAATCACACCTGCAACGGAGTCCCCGTCAGAAGCAAGCGTCTTTGGCAGCGATATCTATCAAGATCACGAGCTAATACAGACTCTCTATCTTTCATTCTTTGCGCTTCATCAATTATTATATGCTACCATTCAACTTTTGAAAGCTTCGAACGATCATACATAACAAACTCATAGGTTGTCACAAGGACATTAAACTTCATGGCTAACACTTCCTGCTCAGCAATTAAACAAAAGGAAGATGACCAAAGCAGAAGGAGATTGATGAAGGGAAAAAAATATAGATTAAAACATAGTATCTTACTTGAGAAAACAATTTTTCCCTTTGGTCTTTGCTACCAACATAATATATGCAGGAAACTGTTGGAAGCCAATTGTGTAACTCACTCTGCAATACAACATAAATGACAAATAGTTAAGAAGATACTCAGAACAGTCTGACATCAACCAGAAAAATTCATTACCTTCCAGTTCAAAGAACGGCATTAGGCACAAAAATAAGATGTGGACCATAGTTGCCTTTGAACTCCATCAAGTATGCAATTAGAGACATAACCTGCACAAAAACAAACCGGTAACGAAAGTTCACGCATCTATAAACTTCCACAAACAAAGCGATGTGCTGCCATTCCTTGGAAGGTGAGCAAAGATGATTCATGACCTCCAACAATCATGCAAAAAATCTAACAAATTTCCCCATTTATGAACATACACAAGTGCAGCAGCCAAACTTTCAAGTAAAAATTCAATGTTAATCAAAACAAACTCACCTGCAGAGTCTTCCCAAGACCCATCTCATCAGTCAAAATTCCATTGAGTTTGTTGTTGTATAAAGAGAGCATCCACTGTAAACGAACCTGGAAAGCATATTTGAGTAAATCTAAGTTAATATCTATAATCATTCTTCGCACAACACTGATCAAACAAATGCCAATCAGGAGTAGAAATAGACACTTACAAGCTGATAGTCTCGTAGTGTTCCAGCTCGTAACATCGACGGCTGCCTAATAACTTTCTCATGCACAGCATGTGCAAGATTGTAATACCTGATGGAAATGCCACAGAAAAATGTAATTATTGTATTCAGAGGCCCCTAAAAATAGAAAGAGGACTGCTTTGGAAACACCTAGACGTTCATCAGAAAAAGTTTCTTAAAGATATCTGACTTTAATTATCAGAAATCAAAGAAACAAAAGGGGCTTACTTGCTGACTGATGAACTATCACGTGGTGCATTCATTTCTGAAAACCTATTCCTTATCATTACTTCTTCTCTAGCACAAGCAGCAGCAGCTCGTTCTTCAGAGAGACCCTTTCATCCAAAAGATTATATATGATGCAGCGCATCCCACATCGGGTTTGAAAGAAAACGAAACAGGCCTTATATGAGGATGTGGATACCTTCACTAGTAAGACGCGTTTTGGTGGGTGTGTATTGAAGCCCAGCCAAGAACAAAGTCGTGCGGGTGGCGGAAGTAGCCCAAAGCGGACAATATCTTACTAGGGTCTGCACCAGTTGAAGAAACATTGTGACCACCATTGCAGATCGATTCCAGAGGATGGATGTTCGACTTCAATGGCTGGATGAACGATGCACAGATTTCTCTGCTGGGATCGACGACTTATGCCAGACAATGAATTCCATGATGAACGAGGTACGTACGAACCGCGAAGGGGCTGACCGGGGCCATCGCGGAGGGATACGCGGAGGTCGTGGGGGTCGAGGTTATTGCGGGGCGCCCCGCCCACGATCACCACCGCCACCGTTGACCGGTGATGTTTCTCACGAAATATCGGGGGACCACGACTTACGGTGGAGTGATGTTTTTGACAAACCTCCACGCAGGGCCGATGGCGGCAAGCGCACGGGCGAGAAACACCTAGGAGCGGCCCGATTTCACAGTCAACAACAACCTCAGGAGGGTTTTGACTACCCATATTCACCCAATCACGCAACCCGAGACAACAATTTCCGGCAACCTGCTGCAGGCGCGGGGACAAGCAGAGCCCTTGACGGCGATTTCCGTCGGGCTTCTAATGGAACAGCGCGCGGCAGTGGCCGCAGGAGGGGCTTCGCACTGTTGCCGACAGCGGCGACTTCCTTGGACGAGAGACACGCTGGGCCGCTGAAGGTTTTTCCACGACTTCCTTGGACGAGAGACACGCTGGGCCGCTGAAGGTTTTTCCACGACCGACGACCATGATTGGGGACAACACGCGATCGGTTTTGGCCACAGCAGGGGCAGCGAGGCTCGAAGGGGACAACCCTGGGCGACGACGATTTTTGGTAGGTCTGGTTCTCACGATCGGCGGAGAGCTGCTGCGGGATTCGCAGGTGACGGCGGCCGAGATGGGCGGCGCGGCAGCGAGAACGCGACGGCTTTTGAGGGTTTTTCTGGCGACTTTCCAGCTCGCGATCTGAGAAGAGAAGACGGCTTTTGAGGCTTTTTCTGGCGACTTTCCAGCTCGCGATCTGAGAAGAGAAGACGGCGGCCGTGGTGCAACCTGGGAGGGAGATCGACGCCGTGTTGCTGCAAGTTTCGTCGGTGACGGCGGCCGCGATGAGCAACGAGGCAGATGGACTGAGGTTGGGCCTAAGGGTGCTCAATTTTTTGAATTTCACAGAGGAGTGGCAGAGTTGCAGAAACAAAAATGTAATGGAGAAGGGTATGGCGATGGCAGCGGCGTATGACACGAGATGGGGATTTTTATCACAACTTTGGGCCTGAGGACGGCAGGCCCAATTCCATTTATTGGGACAAAGGTATGAATGGAACTTTTCCTTCTTTTTGGGCGTGTGCATTAGCTACGAATTTTGGGCTTGTGGAGAGCGATTTTGGTCGCGAATTTGGTCAATGGGTGAGCCTGTTTGATATTCTTGACTTAGCCGAGGATCACGTTGACGGGCCAATTTACGACGGTCCGCCCATTTTTGATGAGGAGGCTCCGACGACGAAAACATATTTTTACAATAATAAGGGTCTCGCATGGGATGTTGCAACGATTACGTCTTCGAATGGGAAACCGTCATTCACACCTGATTTTTTGAGTATTTTGGCCAAAGATGGTTTTTCAGAGCTGAAGCCGATGCCCGATAACTGGTGGGCCATTTTTCGATTGCCTTTCGCGAAGTCTCCCAACAACGGGATGCTTGGCCGTTGTTATGAGTTTAAGCGCGACAATCGATGTGATATATTTTGTGTTATTTTGGTTGTGTCGGCTTTGCGTATGGTGACGTACAAATGTAAATGTGCCTTCGCAGCAGTTAAGTCCTTGACTGAGATTCTGTTTACGTTCGAGATTGTTGGAAGACCGTCAACATTCGTGTTCGATCGAGGAAAATGTTGGGGCTACTCCCACGGGAACGTGTCGGATTCGAGGGCGAATCCTGCTCAACCGAGAGAGAATGGTGCAGAATAATAACTATTATTATTATTATTATTATTATTATTATTATTATTATTATTATTATTATTATTATTATTATTATTATTATTATCTTATTGAGTTTGTTAGGAGAATCTTCTATCTTGATTAGGAGAATATTTATTTCTTGTTTATCAAGTTAGGGACTCTATTTATTATCAGTGTTTTGATGGGATGAGGGATCAGTTGAATTTGAGAATGGAATAAAAATTAATTGTGTTCTTTCGGGAGAGTATTTCAAGTTCGAGAGAGTATCTCGTATTGTATCTTTTCCCTTTCGTTCACGCTTTCGCTACATCAGTTGGTATCAGAGCCAGCCCATGTGCCAGCGGTGACCGCTAGGCCCACAAGGGGGGGTGGATGATGCAGCGCATCCCACATTTGGTTTGAAAGGAAACGAAGCAGGCCTTATATGAGGACGTGGATACCTTCACTAGTAAGACGCGTTTTGGTGGGTGTGTATTGAAGCCCAGCCAAGAACAAAGTCGTGCGGGTGGCGGAAGTAGCCCAAAGCGGACAATATCTTACTAGGGTCTGCAAAAACAGTTGCATATTTTAAGTCAAACATAGATGGAAGCAAAACAAATAATTCAAAAACGGAGATTGCCTGTGCACGTGCCGCAGCTGCTGCATTAGAGGCCTCCTCAACTTCCTGCTGATTTTTCCCTGCTGTTATTTTACCTCCCAATTTGTTGAGATATTCTTCTGTTTGAATTAAAAATGAAGACAAAACAGCATATCTTTCTGCAGCCTCCCCTGGTACATTAGTCTGTTGTTCAAGCAGCATCTCCTTATACCTTTCTACATCATTATTCTTCAACGCTTCCATCCTTTTATTACGACCATCATCCTTCTTCTTGGAGAACTCTCTCAACATCCTCTCATGATACTTGTGAACTCCCCTGTTGCGAGCAGTTCTAGCATCACGAATGGCCCAATGTGCCTCGAGAAGCTTCTTGCGCCACTGGAATACGGATTTCAGTTGCTTCTCCCTAGTTGCCTTCTGATTGGCCTGTGCTTGCCGGTTGAGATCCGGACGGTGACGCTCACAAAGTCGAACAAACTTTCGATATGGTCTATCGGGGATGGCCATTATTTCAATTTGTTGTTGCTCATTGCTCATTTCCTCCCTCAAGCGCGCCCGACAATCTGCAAGTTGGAGCTTTTTCGATTCAATTTGTAGCCTCCTGACGAGATCAGGTCTAAATCGCTTCCTCTCCAAGTTAATAGCAAGCATTTTATCAATCTTCTCTATTTTCTCTTTCCTTTTCCTCTTGCGGTTTTCTCCACCTTCATCAGCAAAGAGATCTTTAATATAGTACGCCAGAGTCAAATTATTATTATTGTTCATCATAGATGATCCAAGAGCGTCATGTTTCCTGGTGAAAACAGGGAAATCAAATAAAGGCCCATGATATTTTCTGGCTGGACAAGTATCCTTAGGTTGGGTTGCATTACTTGCTTGAACGGGCTTCTTGGCTTGCGTTGAATCTGAAATGCTTGGCTCTAGGGCAATTCCTTTACCCCTATCTGCATGTTCACTCCTTAGAGGAGTTTTTTGATAACCTAATTCAAACTCCTGGTCCGGTTTACCAGAATTACTAAGGCTTTGATGCTCTTCCTTTCCAGCTGGAACAATCGTATCCTTCACCGTTATTGAGGAACTTTGCATGTTAAACGTTGACACAGCTAGCCTATCATCTGCTTCCTCTTTTATATAAAGGAAAAGAGATAAAGAGCATAGACAATATTTCGACCAAAACACAAAATTCCTTAAAAGTGTAAGAAAAAACTTCCCTAACCTTGAGGCGCCTAAACGCGAGTGTTTGTGCTTTGAGTACATGCAGTTACTGCTTTGTAAACCCAGTATGCGAAGGTCGCGTATCTTGAGCCGGGACACCCTGAGAAGTTGACATGTTACCTACATCCTTGCTATTAGACGGAGCTGCGGGCTGTGAAGCGGAACGATTAATCTGTCTCGCATTTGGCACTTGAGAACCTTCTAGAACAGCCAAACTCTTACCAAGTACACCCTCGGATCCTGGGTTCAAACTACCAGATGATTGTTGACCAATCAAAGTGCTCTGTCTTGGTGGTGACTGCTTATCTCTACTGTGCAAAGAAAACTGCTGCATAGGCGTTTTGCCAGAGTTGTTAACCGCAACTGATTGCCCCGAGACGTCACTTGAAGAGTTTCTATGGGGAGAACTTTCGTTTCCAACTTGTGCTGATGTGACGTGCTGTTTCACAAGAGATGCTGTCTGCGTACTGATAGTACTACTTTCGTTCCCCTTTTGCTGGGAAATCATCCTCGACTGCATGATGGGGATGAGTTGGGCCATCACATCTGCAGTTGCTGGATTCGAAAGGTCAATATTACGCTCAACCTCTAAAGCACACATCGCCTGCATCTGTGCAGCCATGGCAACTGAATTGTTTGCTGTCATGTTCATAATGTTTTGCTGCAAATTTGGGCCAATCATTGGTGACGATTGGGTTGCTTGACCAAGCACGGTGGAATTGTTTGGTTTTTCATTTGGACTGGCCTGAGGCTGGGCTGAGACTGATTGGCTGCTTGCATTGAGATGAACTCTTGCATCTTCATATTTGCCAAACGCATT